AGGCTTCCGAGATAGTCCCCATATTTTTGGACAAGTCCTAGCTCAAGACCTCAAACAGTTTCACCATGATCACCCCGAGTCCACTTTATTACAATATGTAGATGATCTTCTGCTCTGCAGTCCCTCGTGGGAACAGTCTCAACTTGACACTGCGTCTCTACTTAACCTTCTAGCTTCCAGAGGTTACCGAGTATCCCCTGTCAAAGCTCAAATCTCTTCCCCTTCTGTCACTTACCTTGGATTCCTTCTGTCTCAACAAAGAAAGTCCATTACCTTAGACAGAAAACGACTCCTCTCTGACCTGCCCGTTCCCAAAACCAAGACAGAAATCCTTTCCTTTCTAGGCTTGGCTGGGTATTTTAGAGCGTGGATCCCTAACTTCTCCCTGTTGGCAAGACCCCTATACGACCTCAGCAAGGGCCCCCCTGAAGAACCATTATCATCCTCACCCCGACACTCCTTCATTAAGCTCCGTCAAGCCCTTGTAGAAGCTCCAGCTCTCCATCTCCCTGATTTGTCAAAACCCTTCTCATTATACATTCATGAGAGGTCCAGTCAAGCTCTAGGAGTCCTAGGCCAATATTATGGCCCATCCTTTGCCCCAGTAGCTTATCTCTCCAAGCAATTAGACCCCACAGTTCAGGGATGGGCCCCCTGCCTACGAGCATTAGCCGCTAGACAGCTCTTGCAGAAAGAAGCTCATAAACTGACATTCAGGGCGCCCCTTACCATTCTGTCCCCACATCACCTAAAAGATCTCTTAACCTACAAAAGTTTACAGACTCTCCCTCCCTCCAGACTCCTGACCTTACTGTCCTCTTTCCTCCAAAATCCCATTCACCCCCTTTGCCATCCATACCCGAATCATGACTTTTTCCTCCTTTACTGCTCTCTCGCTTTTTTTCCTCATTCCTATTGTCTTCCCCGCCACCCCAGCCTCCTTTGTATGGCGATTCAAAGTCAGACAGACTTACACACAGCATCAAACAAAAGTTACTGCCCTCATTGCCACACCAGACTGCCCTCTGAAAAGCTGCTCTGAGCCTTTATACCTCCACTTTCCTCCCTCCACCGAAGTGTTCACTAGCAGCTACCCTTATTCTCCCTACCTCTGCTTCCTCTATGACCAAAAACAAGCCTATTGCAGGCAATGGCCAGACACCTACAGGAGATGTCCCTACTAGTCTTGCACCATTCACTACATGGGTAACTTCCAGTACCCACAGTATTACTCCTCCAACCGTTTCATGAAATATCCCAACGGCTCATTCTCCTTATCAATCCCAGATCCCTGGGACTCTCGATGGGCTGCCAGAGTCACAGCCTCAGTTTACTACGGGGGGTCCTCGACCCCCCACAGTACCCTTCATATCTCTCGAAAGTATGTTCCCTCTCATTCCCAGATCTCTCAAGTTGCATCAGATAGCAGACATTCCGAAAAAGTCATTATCCAAACTCTTGACGGCGCCTCTTCATCTTCTTATCCCCGCCCCTCTTCCCATTTCTCCTACTCTTCATTACAGCTCATTCAGGACACCACCATCTTTCTCAACCACACCCTTAACACAGCCAATTGTTTCTTGTGCGCATCACTACAGCGCCCACTGCTGGCCGCCGTGCCCCTTAATATTTCCAACTACTCCTTCCATGCAGAAAGACAACCCCTCTGCCCCCTGGCAGACATACCCCTATGGGAACCAGAATACGCAGATAATCTCACCATCCACCACTGTGTAGGCCCAACTCCACCCCCCTCCAGTGCACTTCACTGCCTCTCTATCTACACCCCTACCTCCGGCTCTAAGACTTTTACACAACCGGGACACTTCTTTTGGTGTAATGGCAGTCTTTTCAACTCACTGCCTCTCAACTCCGATACACCCTGCATTCTCGTCACCCTAATCCCACAGCTTACACTTTACAGCATGGCAGAATTCCTTGAGCTCCAACCTCCCTTGCACTCGCGCACAAAAAGGGCTGCTTTCCTTCCCATCATGGTCGGTATCTCTTTAATCACCTCAGCCATTGGGGTGGGGTTTTCGGGAGGAGCCTTGGGTCACTCTCTATGGGCAGTTAGAGATCTCGACGCCAAACTTGAGGGAGCCCTGGCATCCACTGCCGATTCCCTAGCCTCTCTCCAAAGACAAGTCACTTCGCTAGCTAAAGTCACCCTTCAAAACCGGCGGGCCCTAGATCTGCTTACAGCCGAGAAGGGTGGCACCTGCGTCTTCCTCCAGGAAGAGTGCTGCTATTACATCAACGAATCCGGCATTGTAGAAACTGACATCACCAAACTCACTGACCTTGCCTCCAGCCTCCACTCTGCTTCCAATTCCAACCCATTCTCTTCAATACTAACAAACCCCCTCCTCACCTGGCTCTGGCCCATTGCAGGCCCCATAATAATCATTCTTCTCGCCTGTCTCTTCTTACCCTGTATAATAAAGTTCATCAAATCCCAAGTCGGAAAAATCTCTAATCAAGCTTTCAACCAGCTTTTACTCAGGAACTACCAGCTTCTGGCCACAGAAGACCCCTCACCCTCACGTGACCTCCTCACCACATGCTGAGATGGACCCCTCTCTCCGCTGGAAACTGTTCCTGGAAACAATGGCCGCAGACGCCTGGCTCCTGACACCCATATCCTCTTGGCACCATTGGAATCAACAGGTCCTCGACCTATGGTTACAGGGAACCTTCATTGATTTCCAACCTGAAGAAGTCCACATCTACTCATCCTTACTGTGGGGAGTCCTATCAACCCTTTCCTCCCAATCCTCAAGCCCTCACTCCCTTCTCCGCCCCCACTCAGCAGGAAACAGTCAGAGAGAAAGCAACGTCCACAACCCCATAGAGGAGAAAGGGGGAAATGAAGGGCTCCCCACCAGTAAGATGGCGAACTTCCGGCTTCTTTTGGGGGGGGGGGTCCTCGGTTCCCGCCCGCACCACCTGAAGCCCAATCACCTCTCGCCCCCCCTCCCAATCCCAGCACCTAGCCAATAGCCACCAGCCCCGTAGAAGTAACACCACAATCACCCCATGCCCCTTCCTATATAACCCAGCACCTTTCCCCAATAAAGCGGATTTCTCCGGTGAATTGCTGCTGTGTGTCGCTCCTTTCCTTTCAGTTACCTAATACAAATGTGGATTTTTGCATTTGCAAAGTTTAGCAAAGAAAAACTATTTGGAAATTGGGTTTGCGGCTAAGGGTTCACTTTTAGATATTAAAATAAAATGTTAAAGACTATTCAGAGTGACAGGCATGCAAAGATTGCAAATCCTGTTTCAATATGATTCAGTGAACCATTATTTTAAAAGTAAATTCAAACTCCAAATGATATATTTAGGTAAAAAAGTTGAAATGACACAATTCAGTTTAAATCCATGAGGTCCTCTAAGAATTTCAGAACTGTAAGGAAACAAGGGTTTCATTCAGGCATGCTGAGGAACCTTTCACTAAACCATGGCAGATTTTCTTTCCTTCGCCAGTAAGGGGCAGAAACTACATTTGCCAGAGATACACATTTGTGCTCTTAGGCTGGGATATGCAAAGGCAGAAGAGTGTAACAAGACTACATGGTACCACTATACCTTTCAGCTGATGAATACTCTTTGAAATCTACTAGATAATCTATTTTTAGAATTTCAAACAAGAATAGAAAACTCCATTTTCTATGTTTACTAATCTTTTCTTTTGTGGAGGTGGGGCGTCATGGTGGTACCATCCTATTACCTGTTCAGATACTTCTATTAGCTATTTTTCTGGTGTATCATTAAAATGAGAAAGCAATTTCATTTTTCTGGTTTAATTTCATATGAATTTAACAAACAGAAGAATCTTAAGCCTAAAAGAAAAGACAAGCAAGTGTCCTGCCGAAAAAAAAAAAAAATCCTGAAGGAGAAAAGGAGGGTGATGGTGCAGGTAAAGTCAAAACTGTCAAAAAAGCTGTTCATTCAACCCCTCTCTGCTCGTTCTTTTCTCAAGTGGTCCACTCCACACCACTAAGAACAAAGGCAAAAAGGACTTGGAGTAACACCAAATGCTACACAGCAAGGCGTAGACCCAAGACGCTTTGGGTATTTGCAAGTGAGGTTGCTAAGCTAACATCACAAAAAGAAAAGCATTACATGCTTTCTGAGGGAAATGCACACCACCTGTGCATTCTTGCCCTAACACTGGATCTGAACTGGATCAAACCTTATGATTTAACTACCAACTCAAAAAGAATGTAGGAGACAGATGACCATATTAAATGACATAAGGGATTCAGCGAATCCAAAATATGGAGAACTCTCAAGACACATGACTGGGTTTCCTCAACAACAAAAAAAAAAGGCAAGGGGAAAAAAGGGGAGTTCCATAGATGGAGAGACCTGCTGTGCATCCTGACTTGAACCAACTGCCAAACACAAACCAACCAAACCAAAAACCTTTACTGATCAGTCGTGTATGCTGCTACACTGATGAAGCATTTGATTAATTAAAGAATTATGTGATAATAATGATACTGTGCTTGTTTCTTAAGAATCCTTAGTATTTGCAAAATCATTTCAAACACCCACGAAAGACTGGGTAAATGAAAGTGCTTAAACCGAGTGGTTACCTGTAGGTTCATTACACCATTTTCCACTTAAATTGTTTTTTTCTTTCAAAACAAAACACCCTTGCCGTGACACTGTGGATGGAGTCGCCGAGTGTGCTAGCGTGGCACGCCCGGCCGTGTCACGTCGCCCTCACCAGGTCTCGCTGATCCCACCTGTTAAAATGACAGGTGGGAACGCCCTACCTCCTCTAAGTCTCTGGATCAGAAAGGGAGTAACGGGGAAGAGAGACGCCGGGTGAAAAGCAGCCGCTGCGCCGGAGGCACGAGCCGAGGGACGACGAACACCTGCCAGCTCCGCCCTCGGTGGCGCTGAACCCAAACTGCTGAGCAAGGACCCAGACGACCCGGCCCGCACCTCGCCTAGACACGGCTGCACCCAATTCTCGCGATAGTTACCTCCCGAACGCCGCTCCCGCCGAGGTTGCACAGACGCACTGGCGAATATAAGCGGAGTAGAGCGCCTCTGCTTCCACGTATTCACACTTCTTGAAATAATCGTGGGCGAGTGTTAGGGTCGCGTGGCTTTGTTGCCCCTGCTGCCCTTCCATTGCGGTCGGAGGCCTAGCTTTCCGTGCAGAAGGGCGGTTGTCCTCCGAAAAATTAGAGGCGGCACCACTTCCGCTACTTCCGTACTCTGGAATTTAACCTGACAGCAAAGTCTCGGCAGTAGCAAAGGGGGAAGTTTGTACCTTCCGAGGACCCATCGTCTCGCGAGATCAATGAAGCGCTGCAGGTGAAGTGCCCTGGCGTCCGGGAAAACTGAAGACTCTTGAGAAGTGTTGTTCTTAATGTTGGTCCCGCTTGCTTCGTCTCCCAGAAAAGCAGTAGATCCACGGTCCCAAACTGACTTCAAGTCTATGGGCTGGTGTTCCGAGGAACTTGCCCTTTGTTAACAGAGAATTGGAGGGCTGGGCGCCTGACTGCCGGAAGCGGAAGAAACCTTGGTTTGTTTTATAAATGGCTAATGGGCAAGCGGGTTTATTGTGGCACCTTTCGGGCTCCAGCGTCCACCGTGACAACACACCCGTAGAAGACACCCTGAGTAGGCTGTGGTTACCTCAGACAGCTTGTGTTGAAATCCCATGAATTTAGTTGTCTCACGGTTCTGAGTCAGAATTCACACACTACCATTTATTATCTCCCAAGATCCTATAGATTGCAAACTTCTTGTCCTTTTGGAACCTCTGGAATAGTATTAATGATTAAGTATTACTTTTACTGACAGTTTATGATCTGTTGATGTTAGTTTACATTCCCTGACTGTTAATGCCACAGGGGAAGCCCAGAAAATAAAGTACAGTATGTCTAATGAAACTAAAAATAATGTAAAATGAACAACCTAAGATTTAGAAAGCAATTCCATTTACAATAGCATCAACCAAGGAGGTGAAAGACTTGTACCATGAAAACTACAAAACACTGCTGAAAGAAATTAGACATAAATGGAAAGACAGCCCATGTTCATGCTAAAGCGATCTACAGATTCAATGGAATTCTTACCAAATCACAACAGTATTTTCACAGAAATAGAAAAATACATCCTAAAATTCACCTGGAATTCAAGGAATCCCAAATATCCAAAAGAATCTTGAAAGAACAAAGTTGGAAGACTTACTTCCTGATTTTGAAACTTACAAGAGTTACAGTAATCAAAACTTATATTGGCAAAGTCTTTTCAATAAATATTACTGAAAAACTGGCTGACCACATGGAAAAGTTGAACCTAAACACCATATAAAAAATTAACTCAAAGTGGATTTTAAAAACTAAATTAAAGGCTAAAAATATAAAATTCTTAGGCAAAATCTTAACAACATTGGATTTGTCAATTTCTTGGATATGATACCAAATGCACAGAAAATAAATTCTTGACAAATTGAATTTCATTAAACTTAAAAACTGTTGTGTATCAGAAGACTATCAACACAGTAAAAGACAATCCAGAGAATGGGAGAAAATATCGACAAATCATGCATCTGATAAGAGTGGGAAATGCAGTAATAGAGGTTCGGTGGTGCAGGCCAGGCTTGTGTGTCCACCTACTCATAGGGCACACAAGGGATTCTGACTTGGTGTCTCCATTACATTTGTGAAAGTCTGACTCTACAGGACACTGGAGGGCCCTGCCCTGTGACTGTGGTGCTCGAGTCCGGCTCAGTTGCAGGCCCTCTATGTCTCGTGCCTGTCTTCCAAAGCCCACCTGTACTTGGTGCTTCTTCGCCTGTATGGTGGCATTGACAAGCCTTCCCTCTGCCAGCTCACCCAAAAATAAAACTGCAATGAGATGACCTGCCAAAGTTGTTAATGCTCACCTGCAACCCCATATTGTCAACTGACACATAAAGTGTGCCCCAAGAAGAAAGTCAAGTAAAGTACCTCCACAGGCTTCTTCCCCCACAGAGCACACTCCTCACATCCTCATGGCCTGGGGCCTCCGTAAAGCTTCCTTTTCACTGACCGGAGCAGTTCAAGTACAGATATATATATATACTTCTAGAACACAACTTTTCCAGAGTCAGTATACTATTTTGCATTTCCAACGAGTAAGGGTTTCAGTTGCTCCATATCCTCACCAACACTTGTCAGTTTTGATTTTAGTTATTATAGTAGATGTGTAGCGGTATCTAATTTTTCTCTAAATTTTACTAACTAGAAATTAAAACTTAAATAAGAAATGAGTATAGTCATACCTTTGAAATATCATGGGTTTGGTTCTAGACCACCACAATAAGTGAATATTGCAATAAAGCAAGTCAAATTAATTTTTGCTTTCCCAGTATATATGTTATGTTTACACTACACTATAGTCTGTTAAGTATGCAATAGCATGTCTAAAAAATATATACATAACCTTAATTTAAAAATACTTTATTGCTAAAAACACCATCATCTGAGCTTTCAGCGAGTTGTAATCACTGATCACAGATCACCATAACATATACAGTAATAATGAAAAAGTTTGAAATATTGAAGGATTACCAAAATGTGACGTAGACAAAATGAGCAAGTGCTGTTGGAAAAATGGCATTGATAGACTTTATTACTGCAGGGTTACCACAAACCTTCAATTTGTAAAAAACACATTATTTGTGAAGTACAATTAAGTATAATAAAACAAGGTATGCAGTAGTTAAGTAAGAGCCACTCTAACCTTCTATGTCTACTTTTTCTTTTGATTTTAGAAAAACTGTTAAGAATAGCTCTTGATATGAAGAAAACAGCAATTTCTTCAGTTTCACCTATTTTTCCTCCTAAATTAAACTAAAATATAAATTAATGCCTTTTATTTTTAAAGAGGTTAAGAGTCTCTTTACTTTTTTATCTATGCTCTTTATGTACTTTTGAAATTTTCTACCATAGACATGTTAACTTACATATTTAATAAATGTTAATTTCTAACAAATGAATTGAGAAAATAATCATAAGAGTAGACAGTAGGGGGCAATATAATATTGCTATTTTCATTTTAGAAATTCAGCAGTATCTTGGAGCTAGAACATCACCACATAAGTACTCTTGATTTTCTCTTAATAGTCTGGTAACATAATTTTTCCCCCATTTCTAAACGTCTGTGACCTCTAAGAAGTAATTCATTCACTGCAACCCCATCATCTGACATCTGCCTAGTACCTTTGTAAGTTGTTTTTTCTGTCTGGTAGCAAAAGTAATATTGTACATCTATTGTACCTCCTGTCCCTTTCTCCCCTTATCCACGCTGAAGCCCCAACTAACCAACTCCCACCAAAACATTGAAATCAAAACAAAACATACCAAGTTATCCATAAGTTTTAGATAAAGTAAACAGTATAAAAACAAGTCATCTTTACTTCAATATTTATTATTTTCATATTTATTTTTGCTTAATCCTACAGAAAACCTAAAATCTCAGCGCCTGGAATACAAAAAGGTCATTTCAAAATATTTTAGAAAAAAATGTATAATAAAATTAGCATTTGTGCATGATAGCAGGTTAACAAGGTATGTTGGTTGTAAGACACATTGCTTGCAAGAATAGCTTTATCAGTCAGTTCCATCACATTAATACTCTGAAACTTAACTCAGGCCAAGTTTTATGACAAAGAACTCAGCATTACTTAAAGCCAGTTCATGTTTATTACAAGAAGAAACCAAATAAGTGTTTCAATGTAATGTTTTCAATACACTGCCTCATTCTGTCTATCTAACTTCCAAGTATTTGTTCTACATAGACAGTTCTGCTTCTCTTTGCCCCTTCATCAGGAGAGACTTAGTTGGTGTTATTATCCTGAAATTTCCTTCATGTTGAAAAAAACCAACTGGGTCAACTCCTAGTGTGGGTCTTTCTACAGTACCATTTTCAAGCAAGATAAAGGCCTCTAAGACATTATGGTAAATCACTAAAACTCACAGATATAACTCCCAAACAGTCAAAGATGTTTACAATAGTTGAAAAGAGGTGTCTATATATATATGTGTGTGTGTGTGTGTGTGTGTGTGTGTATGTGTGTATAAGTGTATATACATGTATGTGTATGTACAAGTATACATATATGGAATAATTAGGTCTACAAAGTATGAAGTTGTTTTTAGAGATTTTACTATCTGGATTAAACTGAATAAGAAGTAGTGAGAGCAACTCAGGATCTATCTGAAATAATTAGTTGGAGGAAAATTCTAGGGCTCAGGTGGAATGGAGTTAGCATCAAACAAGAAAGCTCCAAAAGAGAGTTCCCAAAAGACATGTTAGGAAAGGCCTAAGAAGCCAACAGCTAATTGTGGAACTGAGGCAGATGGAAGTGTAGTCAGCAAGTCATAGGAAGTTCTAGATGAATGACAATCTAACTTTGAGTTCTGAGCTGATCCCTGGGATGGGAAACAGGGAAAGAAGAGATACTCAGGCATTAGAACATAGACCAAGAATCACAACTCTGACCATATAGTTCTGAGGTAACTATGTCCCTAAAATCTTCAGCCTATGTCCCTGAAAAATTTCTCTTTTCACTGATGAAGCAGAAAATAGTTTCATCCTGAAAATATAATGTCTGGTAGAATGATGTAATTAAGTTCAACAGGAGATATATTCCTTAGGGCTGATGTTTTTGTTAGGATGTTATTTCCTGGTTTAGGAAATATTCTATTCTGTCATAGAAGAAAACAAATGAGGCAGATGAAATTCATTGTGTTAAGTAACTTACGAGGCACATTGACAAAGTAAATGGAGCATATATGTGTGACCATACCTAAAATGGATGAGGCACTAAAAATATAAAAGACAACCAAGGCACTAATTATTCATGACACACTAAATATGCATGAAACCTATAAAGTGCTCAATAGGTGTGAGGCCTTGATTCAACTGCCCATCCTGATACTTATTCTGGCCAATCCCCTACCCAAGAAATAGAATTGAATCCATTACTGCTCAACAGGCAAATTGGAACTAACAGCTGCGGCCAGGTGTACTTGCCCCAGGGCCTCTTCTTTAGACAAAGTGTGCATCACTGGCCTCGGGCACATTCCATCTGATTGGGTCCCCCGCTTAAACCTCAACTCTGGTCCCCTTCCCCACACTATTGTGGGGTCGGGGGCCGGGGGTGTTGGCTGACGAGGCAGAGCGAGAGGACATTAGAACAGTATATAACTCAGGATTCAGGTACTGTCATCTTTCTACCCTACTTGTACCCTATCTGCCCGATCATCTTCCCCTTGCTCCTCACTGTGTATTCCAGATTGATTCAGTAAAGCATGTGACTTGAGTGTTCCCATTTGGTTTGTAACCCTTTCTGTTCATTGACCTCTGGAATGGCTTGCTTAGAAGTGTATTTGGAGGCTACCATTGTATCAAGGTAACTTCCCACAAGGCACATGACCACAGACACTTCTAAGACTTCTGGTCTTTTCATTCTGATTAGGCACATGAGCCCTCTATAGTAAGCTCATCTAGGCTCTAAACCTCTTCTCATAGTTCACTATTCTTAACGGGCAACAGGCTTCACTTTCTCTGTAAAAGGCCAGAAACATCACATTGAGAGAGTTGATTGACCTAGTATCACAGCCATGTGTTACTAGCAATACCACACTAGCAATGGTGTATATTCCTCTTTATCCACTGCCTCTACTAAACATCAGCCAGACTCAGCAAATAACCTTGATAAAATAGTGCTAGAGTCTGGTCTGCAGCCACAAAATGAGGAGTCCTAAGTGAAGAAATAAATGATGAACATTATTAGCAATATAAAACAGGTAAGAGGTTACCCATTACTGATTATAATGTTTTCTTTTAATTAATCATAAGTCAAAATAAACATATCTTGAGGAAGAATAACTGCCTTCAGCCTGAGAGTTGTTTAAATGAAGGGTCTGGCTTAATGACAATGTTTCAACTGAAACTAACTACAAAATGGATGTTTCTGTATAAATCTATATCATTACAAATAGAGCCAAGTTTTCTGTGCAGTATCATAAAGAGTAAATGCTAAATGCCATCCCTTAGATGAGATTAAAGGGGTAGATAAAAAGGAAACTATATAAAAAATAAAGGTATTAGAAACAATTCAAATTATTTGAAAAAGCCTTGAAATGCTTCTCCTTACTTCTGAATATAAACTATAAAAGATAATCAATATTTATTTCATTAAATACAGCTAGCTATAATAGAGATCACTTCAATATTACAATTGTTTAACAACCTTCTAAAACAGGTTATGCCAGTGCCCTACCTTCTACTTTGCCCCATTCCCATGCTTCCCTCTTCTCTACCCTGCACCAAAATTTTTTAATGAATTAGAAACCTTGACACTGTAAGAAAAAATTTCTTATTTGGAATATTTCCACAGTATTATATAACCAACCACAAGATAGACAGATAAGTAGACAGACATAGACAAATAGGAAATACAGATATTATGTATATATAACATATATACAGTTTTGTTTAAAAGTACAACTATGAAATAATGATGTTGATTTTCATAAAATGTATGCAAGTCAACCTTAATATATATAGAGTTATAGCTATGTGTATATGCTACATATATTTTACAGTTATATGTAATTTGTCATTTCTTTACTCCACTGAACTATGGCATAAAGGACAGAAGTTGTAGTTACTGATTTCCTGAGCCAGAACAGCGTGCTTGCACACACTGCACATCCAGAACTGACACTCAGTGATTGGACTTCCTGTGGCAACACATGTTGGCAGTTTCCCTTCCCCTCTGTAAGAATAAGAGGAAAAACAATTTTACTTTAAAACTTCTCATTAAAGTTGATCTTTGAACAACAAGGGTCTGAACTGTGGGGGTCCACATATACATGAATTTTTTAAAATAAATATATTGGGGAAATTTCTTGGAGATTTGCAACAATTTGAAAAAACTTGGAGATGAACCATATAGCCTAGAAATATCAAAAAAATTAAGAAAAAGTTAGGTGTGCCATGAACTAAATACCCATCTATTTATCATTTACTACCATAAAATCAGCAGTAGGCTATTATTAGTTAAGTTCTTGGAGAGTCAAAAGTTAAACAGATTTTTGACTACATGGGGTGTTCCTAACCCTGTATTGTTCAAGGGTCAACTGTATTTAAAAATTTTTTAAAAACCAAGGAACAAAAACATTCCAAGGTAAACTTCAAATAAAAACTTTTCTTACAATAAAAAAATAAAACATTAATATGCTTGTTAAGACTTCATACAATAGGCTGTAATGTTAAGGTAAATTACTTCAAAACTTAGTGCTTTATTACACCACATCTTATACACATAGAAATCCTAGTTTCTAATAAAGTAAAATGACATCTATTAATTAGCTTACCCTTCCAGAAGTCTGTCCAGTTCAAATTTTCTGTTATCTTTTGGAGTATGTTTGGTGAAGATTTCTAGAGCAAGATCTTCATACTGCTGTTTCTGTTCTGAACTGAGGGTTTCTAAAGATTTAAGTTTCATAAAAGCTTTTGAACAAGTACCAAAAGCTCTACTGGCACATGCACAGAGTGCTAATAGGGAGTATATCTCAATGGCAGGGATAATGTCTTCATAGTCTCTCAGGTGCAGAGCTAGGAAAGAGGACAATTTGGATTTTGAAAAAGAATCATGATATGAACAGGTATAGCAAAGAATCTACATTAAGCTGTTTTAGTTTAACCTACATGAACTTTAACAAACTCAAAAAAAAGCAGTGTGAGACTGATGCACCTAGTAGGAGGAAGTAGGCTGCATGATCTCCAAAGGTCTGTAAATGCCAGCTAACAGCTCAGGCCCTTTGAAACAACCACAACCAAATAATGCACATGACTAGGTCATATAGAAATATACACACTGATAAGAAAATTTGGTGTCAAAACACACATCTTTTGTTCCATATAAATATGTTACAAATTTCTGAATTCCAGAAAAAACTTAATTAATATCATATGATGTTACCTATCAACTATACTTCAATCAAAATCTAACAACAAATTATACTATGTTGGTCATGACTTTCAAGATAACATCATGTTTCTCTTTGTAAAATAAAGCAAAGGAGTATGAAATCATGTTTTCTCTGTGTTCTCTGAACAGATTGTTGCTTTTTTGTTTGTTTTATTAAAACAATAGAACTTTGAGAAAAAAGTTAAACAAGGCTCTAAGTTGTCAGTTCAGACAATTCTGACAACTACATTTTCAATTTTTATATACGAGAGACAAAATCTATTTCTTTAAAATGTTCTTTAGAATTAGTATCAGATTTGTAAACAAATTATATCCTTTTCTTTGCTAGACCTTGCAATCTTAAAAGTATCTTGTTAAATAACACTGGAAATTTTCTAAAACAACTTAAAACAATATGTTCACCTATTTAAAATTAGACTCCTATAAGCTGGTTTTGAGGGTCAAGTGTTTACAAAAAAGTTTAGTGAAAGAAATCTACCAAAACGTAAATTCATTCAATTACAAGAAAGACACCCTCAGATTTCACAGGTTCATAGGCAATAATTTACAGGGTCACTGAAAAACAAAAATATTACAGTATATGGATCTCTTCACCCAGTAGTCAAAGAACCTCACATTAAAGGTCTAATTTACTGTGTAAGTCTAGAAATTGTGCATAAATTATATAAATATAATTATTTTAAACAGTACATAATTTATATCACTAATCAGTTAAAATTAAATGAAGATTATTTATAAACATATAATATAAAAATAAAAATGATACCTATGCATAACTAGTAACCAATTAGAAAAAAATTTACAGTCCCATTGTTAATAAAAATGATGACATAGATCTATACTTAACAACATGGAAAGATAACTGTAATATATTGTCGAGGGTAAAAAGCAAGCCTCTGACCAATATATAGTGTATGATATTTTAAAATAAAACTATACAATTTTATAGGCATGGAGAAACGTCTAAAAGGAAGTTCACCCAAATGTTGGCAAATGATTATCTCTGGGTTATAAGATTATACTATTATTTTACCTTTCTCTTTGTATTTTTTTCTGCTTTGATTGAAATTGTTACATAAATATGACTTTTATTAAAAACAAGTGAAATGGTATCTACTAATACGGAAATATTTTAGAACATATTATGTTTTTTCTTAAAAATACAAAAAATTATATATGTCTCTGTGCCTGTGTATATATATCTCCAAATGCATACCAACTGAGTTACCAAGTGTTTAACTTTGAATAAACAGAATGGTAAATGCTATAAATGTTCTTTTTGCTTATCTCAAACCTCGATTTTTCTGTGAGCCGTATGTATTGTTTTTGTTATATAAAAAAAAAATGAACTTCCAAGAGGGCAGTGCACAAAACAAATAAGAGATGGCAAATCTCAAACAAAGGAAAATAAACCCATGGAAAACCATGTTACTAAAATTAATACAAGGGCAAATTGAAGGAGCTGTCCTTTCACATGCAATTTATAATCTCTTTGACATGTTAGGTATATTAGGTAATACCTGTCTTCAATGCAGTGTCAACATATCCCTCATAGAGCTGCCTCTGTGCAAGTATAAAGAAGTGATAAGCTTCAGCCCCTCTCCAGGCATTATCTGTGAAATGACTAGTTGTAGACAGAATTTCCTCTTCCAGAAAGCCTGCCAAAGCAGAGGTGACCTACAAGTAAACAGACCCACATTTTGTCAGCACAACCATATCAACGGTCATTGCAACATGAACAACTTCTGAAATAGCTACACATTTAAATATATAAATAAGCAGATTTTAGCATTATAAAACTAGTGTTACAGAATTAACACCAGAATAATTCATATGTTGTTAAACTGGTAGGATTAAAGTTTTTTTTTCAGATTTATTGAGGTATAATTGACGAAACTGTAAGTTATTTAAAGTGTACATTGTGTTAAGTTGACATACATATATTTTGAAAGGATTCTCTCTATGGTTATCAAATTTTAAAATAAAACTTATTAAACTTTAAGTTAATAAGAGATTCATTTACATATTAAAATAATTTATAAGATTTGAGGAAAGTTTTTTAAGTTCAATGATTGGAAAGGATTTACTGAATAAAGAATTAAAGCAAAGATAAAAGACTAGCCACACAGAAAAAATTTCAATATTTCCAAGTATAAATTTCTAAATTTGGGTACTAATTCCAAGTCAGTCACTCTTTTTCCTCAAAATAAATGCAAACAAGTAAACTAAATGGCCTGTCCATAAAGAGAAGTTTGATAATTTTTTCCTCAAACACTTAAAATGATTTAAGGTTACCGAATGTTCTTCCGCACCTCTGAGCTCTTTCCTTTAACTTTTCCTCGTTGGGCATTTTTCATTTGTTCATGGTATTTCTCTACAAGTAAGGCTGATAGTACATAGAGCTTCTTCACCCGTAAAGGTTTAGTTCTCTTCTTTGCCTCTTCATCAGCAATCTTTAAACATTTAAAGAATTGGGGGAAGATATTTCTTAATCTATATTTGTACAAATGTAATCATTCTGAAATTTTATTCTCTAAAAAAAGGAAGAAAGTCAGTAGGATGGAATATAAATACCACCTATTTATGATAAATATTTTCCTTTGTGCTGAAAAGTACTTAGTTCTTTCTGCAGCGTTTAGGTCTTGGAGTTAGAACTCATAACAATCTTAGAAAAATAACAGATGTGTTTAAATAACTATGTCAGAATGAAGAATGCTTTCATGGAATGGGTAGTATTTTATACAACAAGGAGATTTTTTAAATAATGTTCCAAATATAAAGCAAAGATGCTTTAACATAGTACATCCTTCAGAAATTCAAATTCACTTCAGTTGATTCTGAGGAAAAATTTCCCCTTACATCAAATGGGAAAATAGAATAGAATAGAATGTACAATTTGCATACATTAATACTGTACTAGTCATCTTCCTTTCAAATGCATATTATGAAAAATGTAATGTCTTTAAGACTTGTTCATCTAAAAGGACTCAAAATTTTATTAACAGAATTTCATTCCCAGTGAAGGGAATTCATACTTTATGGTCCCTGAAAAGTCTCTTTGTTAACTTTAGCATCAAATAAATATTCAATAGTTAAGGTATCAATAAAGTGCTAACATTAATAAATAGCCTTGTTAGTAAAAGGTAATAAGACTAAGATAACACACACAGTAGTAATAAAGCCAGAGGGCTTTTGCTATAACAAATATTTGTTGTCAGGAAAAAAGGAAAACTCTGGTCTTTAGTATATAAGAAAACACTGATAACTAGAGCAAGCCAAATACGCAGCAAGATGATTACATTACCTTAAACATCAGTTTAGCGGCATCATGAAAGCAATGGGCCTTCCGATAGAGCTCTATGGCATCAAGAGGTTTATTCTTTTCCAATAAATGAGACGCATACCTCGCTAACAGGGGTCCAATTTCTTTCATACTATGACTTTTAGCCAATTCAACAGCTTTGTTCCACTAAGGAAAAAATGCACCACTCAGTTGCCCAAGCATTTAGTCACATACTCCATTAAATTCACACAATAAAGCTTTAAGTTTATAATAATAAATAACACTATATCAAAATAAGAAACTGGTATATGTTTTTAAAAATCACAATCAAAGAAATTGTGAGTTTTATAAGTAAAAGGTGTCAAAATAATTAAATGACCTAAGGCTTTGATTTGCTTAAGTAGTACATCTGAAAAGGAAAGCTACGAAGTTTATAATCCATATTAACCTTATAATTCTAATTTTGCACAAACTATGAAGAAAAAGATAAACTTATTTATAGTAAAACAAAATATGCAATACCAGTTAAGAAAATATCCTATCAGATAACTTAAATTTAAAAGCTACTTTTATAAAGCAAATGGAGCTGTGTAAAATATTTCAAGAAAATACTGAAAAGAATAAAGTAATAGTCAACAATTTCAGCAATTCTGCACGTCAATTTTATTTAAATCCCAGCTCTTAAAAATATCAAATATATGTCTTTCTATAAACAGAAAGGAAAATAGATTTGCCAAAATAAATATTGATGAAGTAACTCAATTCCATCCTCTTGCAATGACCATTAACTGGTCCTTCTTGGAAACAAAACTCAACCCTAATAAAATGCAGAGAATTATGAAATTCCAGACAAGAACTTGATGGACAAAAAGCACAATGTTTGCTCAAGCTCCCATTCAGAGTTAGTTGTAAGCACATCACCCTTAATGGTGCACTTCAAGAACTAAATGCAAACGCCAACATTTTCTCAGTCCTCAACTAAGTAAGAGAACACCTAACTCCTTTCACAAAGTTTATCTCAAGCTCTCCAATCCTTCCATTGGCAACAGCCTTCAATAAGTGACTAGAATTTTCAGTTCCTTACTTGGTTGAGATGTACACAGGTATCCACTGCCGCCTTTGGTTGATTGCATTTCAAAAATGCAGCTACTGCTTGTTCACACATTCCAACTCTCACAAACATCTGTGCTATTTCCTGTAAGGACAAAACAATATTGCCTGATTTCACAGACCAAGAAAATTGCTTATTTTAATTTACAAAACTCTATATATGGGACATAAGAATATTGAATTTACTGGTGGTTACAGTGATTTTTCACTTAGACATAGGGACAGAGGCTACAAACTAGAAAGGATGCTAAGGCATCACCTTCTACAAAACCTGTGCTTCTCGGAGAAGACAAGTAGTGACTCTACAGCATCTTACTATGTTGATGGACGGTGACTGCAATGGGGTGGGGGGGGGGACTTGATAATATGGGTGAATATTGTAAAAACCTTCATAAGATTGTATATCAATGATACCTTAATAAAAAAATAAACTGTGCTTCTATGGCTCACATGGGATCTGTTTCTTAATCAGGTCCTGAAGATCCTGCACTCTTCCCTCAGTTCACTAGCTAGTTTACAGTAATGTCAAGCTCTGAAACAAACCCCACACTAGTAGGTAAAAAAACGTTAAGGCAATTGATGGTATAATCAATCATAATCAGTATGAGAGGCTTAAGGAAAAACCTCATTTTTACAGAGTTCTCAAATACCTCTACAAAGAAATGCCCAGACAAGTTGGCCATTCCTCAGTTCAAGAAGCTGATCCAAAACAAGGCTCCCTTGGAGGTTGGTAGCAAGGAGAGAGAATCACAGCAAAAACCAATCATACCCATTTGGCAGTACTCTCCATTTTCAGAAACCCCCCATTTTTTCTTTCTGAATATTTAATGGGCCAGTTCTCCTCTCCACCCTTATTTCTAAAACATTTTGGGAAATATCATAAAAGCACATTTTGTATCCAACTATCCTTTTAAAAGTAATGCTTACAAAATACCTAGGAATAAACCTAACCAAGGAAGTGAAAGACCTATACCCTGAAAACTACAGGACACTCATAAAAGAAATTCAAGAGGACACTAATAAATGGAAATTCATCACATGCTCTTGACTAGGAAGAATTAATATTGTCAAAATAGCCATCCTGCCTAAAGCAATGTACATATTCAATTCAATCCCTATCAAAATACCTACAGCATTCTTCAATGAACTAGAGCAAATACTTCTAAAATTTAACCACAAAGACCCCAAATAGCCAAAGCAATCCTGAGAAGGAAGAATAAAGCAGGGGTGGAATTACGCTCCCCAACTTCAAGCTCTACTACAAAGCCACAGTAATCAACACAATTTGGTACTGGCACAAGAACAGAACCACAGACCAATGAAACAGACTAGAGAGTCCAGATATAACCCAAGCATATATGGTCAATTCATATATGATAAAGGAGCCATGGACATACAATGGGGAAATGACAGCCTCTTCAATAGCTGGTATTGGCAAAACTGGACAGTTACATGCAAGAGAATGAAACTGGATTACTGTCTAGCCCCATACACAAAAGTAAACTCAAAATGGATCAAAGACCTGAATGTAAGTCATGAAACCATAAAACTCTTAGAAGAAAACAGGCAAAACTCTCTTGAATATAAACATGAACAACTTCTTCATGAACATATCTCCACAGGCAAGGGAAACAAAAGCAAAAATGAACAAGTGGGACTATATCAAACTAAAAAGCTTCTGTACAGCAAAGGACACCATCAGTAGAACAAAAAGACATCCTACAGTATGGGAGGATATATTCATAAATGACAGATCTAATAAAGGGTTGACATCCAAAAATATATAAAGAGCTCACACACCTCAACAAACAAAAAGCAAATAATCCAATTAAAAAATAGGCAGAGGAGCTGAACAGGTAGTTCTCCAAAGAAGAAATTCATATGGCCAACAGACACATGAAAAGATGCTCCACATTGCTAATCATCAGGGAAATGCAAATTAAAACCACAATGGGATATCACCTCACACCAGTTAGGATAGCCAACATCCAAAAGACAAACAATAACAAATGTTGGCAAGGATGTGGAGAAAGGGAAACCCTCCTACACTGTTAGTGGGAATGTAAATTAGTTCAACCATTGTGGAAACTAGTATGGAGGTTCCTCAAAAAACTAAAAATAGAAATATCATTTGACTGAGGAATTTCACTCTTAGGAATTTACCCTAAGAATGCAGCATCCCAGTTTCAAAAAGACATATGCACTCCTATGTTTATCGCAGCACTATTGACAGTAACCAAGAAATGGAAGCAACCTGTGTCCATCAATAGATGAATGGATAAAGAAGATGTGGTACAGATACACAATGGAATATTATTCAGCCATAAGAAGAAAACAAATCCTACAATTTGCAACAACATGGATGAAACTAGAGGGTATTATGCTCAGTGGAATAACTCAGGCAGAAAAAGACAAGTATCAAATGCTTTCACTCATCTGTGAAGTATAACAACAAAGAAAAAACTAAAGGAACAAAACAGCAGCAGATTCACAGAACCCAAGAATGGACTAACAGTTACCAAAGGGAAAGGGATTGGGGAGGATGGGTGGGAAGGGAGGGATAAGGGGGAAAATGGGACATTATGATTAGCACACATAATGTAAGGGGGTGGGGACATGGAGAAGGCAGTATATACAGAGAAGACAAGTAATGATTCCATTGCATCTTACTACACTGATGGACAGTGGCTGTACTGGGGTATGTGGGGGGGACTTGATAACAGGGGAAGTCTAGTAACCATAGTTGTTCAAGTAATTGTACATTAACGATATAAAAATAAAATAAATAAAATAAAGTAACGCTTACATTTTTCTGATTATAAAGAATATATTCTTATGATTTAAAAAAATTAGAAAACACAAAAATGTAAAATTACCCATATTCTTACCCATGAGAAACCTCTCTCTATTAATAGTCTAATATAATTTCCTAACATCTTTGTCCTGTGAACAAATATGTATTGGTGAGCTGGTGTATGTATTCTGATCATACTAAATGATTCTGTAGTCTGCATTTTCCACTTAAATAAAGCTGGGGGAATTATGCTCCCCAACTTCAAGCTCTACTACAAAGCCACAGTAATCAACACAATTTAGTACTGGCACAAGTACAGAACCTTAGACCAATGAAACAGAGTAGAGAGCCCAGATATAAACCAAGCATATATGGTCAAGCAAGGTCAAGCAAAGAAGATCCCATATTATTAAAAACTCCAAAAGTTAATTCAACATTTTTAATTATTTTTATTATCTGATTATTATCATAGCTAAGATTACCTAGTATTTACTCAATAACATCACTATTTTGGATACTCTACAGCAACATTTTTTTCCTGTGTCATTAGACACACCTAACAAACACCTAACACTAATGTAGGATACACTGTCCCCATGCCCATGGCAATAAGTAATCTGTTTCTTTCTTATGCAAGAAAACATACAGAATTGAGAATAATAGTATATGAAAATGCCATTACTATAGAGATAATTTCTCTAATAAATAGTGAAAACTGAGTATTAGAATTTTATACTCATCTATTGACAAAATATTTGTGGCAGAACTCAGAACTGATACATTTCCAGACCATGCAGTTGAGAGCTGCTAATAAACTGGTATCATACAGCTCAGCAGTTTACATTTTAGATAAAATAAATAAAAACACTCATTAACATAATTCAACAGTATATCAAAATAAAAAGAACATTCAAAACAAAGTTGCAAAGAACTCTGCCTTTTGTTTCTTTTTAACATTAAACTGCATTGTCAGTATAACATAATAAAGGTCAAACTATGTTTTTAAACTCTTATTATGGAAAATTTCCAACATATATATATATACACACACATGCACTAATCCCCAGGCCCAGCCTGGATTATTTTGGAGCAAATCTCTGACACAATATCATTTTATCTGTAAATATTTCATGTGTTCAGCTAACCTTTAAAAGCAATTTCATAAAACCAACAAGACTACGTGAGACTGTGATCATGTTAAAGTAGTAGGAATGTGACTAATTTTCCCTCCATTTTCTAGCATTCTGTACTATTGATTTACTGTTTTAACAATTAAAATAAAAGTGTCATTCCATATTTAAGAAACTAAAGATTATACATTAAACATTTTATTTATTGAAGAAAATATTTCCCCACTATAACATAAAAACCTTATAAAGTAACCTAAAAACTCCAAAAATGAAAATTTGCAACACCTACTGGAAGCACCTTGTGGTTTTCTGGAAGTGAATTGGCAAGATTCTCCAATCCCTCATAATCTTCTAACATATAATAACATTCAGCTAAGCGTTCTTGGTTCCGGCCTTGTACATAATACTGTACAGCATTCAACCTATGAGAAAAAAAAAAAGAAAAACTTTAAAAACTAAGGTGAAATAAAATACCTAGGAATAAACCTGACCCAGGAGGTGAAAGACCTATACCCTGAAAACTATAACACAGTCATGAGAGAAATTAAAGAAGATACCAATAAATGGAAACACATCCTGTTCTCAAGGATAGGAAGAATTAATATTGTCAAAATGGCCATCCTGCCTAAAGCAATCTACAGATTCAATGCAATCCCTATCAAAATACCAACAGTATTCTTCAATGAATTAGAGCAAATAGTTCTAAAATTCATATGGAACCACAAAAGACCCTGAATAGCCAAAGCAACTATGAGAAGGAAGAATAAAGCTGGGGGAATCATGCTCCCCAACTTCAAGCTCTACTATAAAGCCACAGTAATCAACACAATTTAGTACTGGCACAAGTACAGAACCATAGACCAATGAAACAGACTAGAGAGCCCAGATATAACCCAAGCATATATGGTCAATTCATATACAATAAAGGAGCCATGGATATACAATGGGGAAATGACAGCCTCTTCAATAGCTGGTATTGGCAAAACTGGACAGTTACATGCAAGAGAATGAAACTGGATTATTGTCTATTCCCGTACACAAAAGTAAACTCAAAATGGATCAAAGGCCTGAATGTAAGTCATGAAACCATAAAACTCTTAGAAGAAAACAGGCAAAACTCTCTTGAATATAAACATGAACAACTTCTTCATGAACATATCTCCACAGGCAAGGGAAACAAAAGCAAAAATGAACAAGTGGGACTATATCAAACTAAAAAGCTTCTGTACAGCAAAGGACACCATCAGTAGAAAAAAAAGGCATCCTACAGTATGGGAGAATATATT